ATGTCTAAAATTAGATGGAACTAATAGTATGAGTGCTAATATAAATTTGAATTCACATAAACTTATCAATGTAGTTGATCCTACTGATGCACAGGATGCAGCTACAAAGCATTATGTAGATAATAATCAAACTTCTAGCAGTATGTATCTAAGAAAAGATGGTTATAATCCTGCAACTGCTAATATAAATTTAAATACAAATAAACTCATCAATGTAGCTGATCCTACTAATGCACAGGATGCTGTTACAAAGATCTACGTTGATGATATGCAAAATCAAAGTTTAGATATCATTCCCAATACAAGTTTAATATGCTTTGGACAAAAATCTCAAGCATTCTATGCAACTCCAGGATCATATACTATTTTTAGCTATAGTGGTAGTTAAGGAATTCTAAGAAAACTGTGGATTGCATTTACAGGATCTACTATTGCACCTAATACTGTACCAGGTAACTTGTTTTTAAAAATATAAGCTGACAATGTACTTTACATAGGTAATGATTCTATTATAACAGATGGTGTAGGTGTTAATAATACAGCTTTAGCTTGTGATTTAATAATTGCACCACTTGGTGGACCTTATTATGCAAACACTTTACAAGGATGTAATGTATCTAGTGCAACTGCATTAGGAGGATATTTTGCATTTGATCTTCCTTTTACATCAAGTTTGAATATACAATTATACAATAAAACAGGCAATTCAGTGACCTTTTGGTTACAATCTTTTATCACAAGAACTTCATTGTTGCAACAAACATTAACTAGTATTAATCCGTTAATACCTCGATCCATCTCATCCATTAGATTGTACTCAACAACATTTAGATATGCAAATACAACTTATGGTAGTGAATATATGCTAATGAATGCTATGGATAATGGAAACGGAGTGTATTTGAAATACATAAGAATGCATATAATTGGAGGATCTGGAAACTGGTGGGAATCTAGAGTTCGCATCTATGATGGATATGGTGCTCCTACCAATACTAACTCTGTCATTCAACCTTGGACACGTTATAATAATAATGGATATACTACATTTTCTAGATATGATGTTAACAGTCGATGCATCTACACTTCATCAGGTTTATAAGATTTTTATCTTTCTTCATGGAATGGATCTAATGCAAGCTCATTTAATAATGAGGCATCAGGATTACTTTATCAATCAAGTAGTGTAATTGGTCCAACAACTACAATTTCATTTTATAGAAACTTTAATTCATCTGAAAGTATGCCTAGCGTTGGTATGTGAATGGTAGTGACACTCAACTCTGGTGATGCACAAGTATATATTTATTAAACAGAGAAAGCTTGAAGTCTGTGCTGAATTTCGAACAAGGATAGGTCTTGTCATAGACCAACAAAGAATAGGTGGGGCAGGTACATCAAACGATGGCAACACAGCTGGGCGATTTTTTCAGCAATACGATGTGTCAGCTAGCATAATGAACATCAATGTAGATCTTATGAAAAGGCTTCATATTATTCTGGCCACAATATCAAGTGGTTATGAAATTAACTCATCCAAATTTAAAACATTCTGTTGGGAAACTGCTTCTCTCATGTATTTCTGTACCCTTGGTATCCTATGACTCAAACACTTCATAAGATTTTGATTCCTGGCTATGAAGTCATTGAACTATTTACTCTTCCATTAGGTATGTTTTCTGAAGAGGCTCAAGAGGCTACCAATAAGGTTTTTAATATTTTTCGTGAAAATTTTACAAGAAAATGCGATCGGAAAAAAAACAATATAGACCTTTTTCATCGCCTTTTATGTGCATCTGATCCTTTAATTTGCACATTAAGAAAGAAGATACATAACAAAAAAAAAGTCTACCATTTGGTGTACTTGAACTATTGCAAGATCCAACGATAGAATACTCTGCGTAAAACTTAAATTTAAATAATATCCTTGTTGTTAATTTTGTTGGGTAAAAACGGAATTTTTTATAAATGGAAAATAAATGAGTTTTTAATAATTTGTTTAATTATGTAATAAAATTTGAAGTTTTTAAAAAACAAATGTTGTTTTTTCCACAAATTATGTTTTTCAATATAATAAACTGTTTCTAATTAAAAAAAATAAAAAAATTTTGGATTTAGAGGTTTTGGCTAGAAAATGTCACTTTTGACCCACTGCGTGAAACAGCCGTGATATATATATATATATATATATATATATATATATATATATATATATATATATATATATATATATATATATATATATATATATATATATATATATATATATTTATATATATTTATACATACATACATATATAATATATATATATATATATATATATATATATATATATATATATATATATATATATATATATATATATATATATATATATAAATATATATATATATATATATATATATATATATATATATATATATATATATATATATATATATATGTATATATATATATATATATATATATATATATATATATATATATATATATATATATATATATATAATATATATATATTTATATACATGTGGCTATCGACCAGCTGTCTAAAAGCTGTCTAAAAAACTGCGTTATGTAGCTATCAACTTGCTATCGATTTATGGCGACCTTGTAGCTAGCAACAAAGACTTACAAATATGTAACTAGCAATAAATTGTAATAAAATCGTTGTCAATAAAACTGCAATATATAGCGAGCAAGTAGCTATTGATTTGTGGCTACCTTGTAGCAGGCTACAAAGATAAGATAAGTAACTAGCCATAAATCGTAATAAAATCGCTATCTAAAAACTGCGATATATAGCTAGCGACTAACTATAGATTTATCGCTATGAAATAACTGGGTACACAAGTGCGACATGTAGCTAGCGCCATATCGTAATAAAATCGCTGTCTATAAAACTGCGTTATGTAGCTATCAACTAGCTATCGATTTTTGGCTACCTTGTAGTTAACTACAAAGCTACGATACGTAACTAGCGATAAATTGTAATTAAATCGATAGCTAAGAAGCTGCGATATTTAGCTATCGAATAGCTATAGATATATCGCTATTTAAACAAAGCTACCCGACGGGCATTTGTTTTTAAAAGTTACGTTCTAAATGTATTTTTAACGCAACTAAATATGCCACAGAAAACAAGCGAGTCAAAAAATATGAAAACTTGCATTAAGTGCGTTGAGTTCTCTTGATACTTTACGTTTTATTTATGATCATGGTTTGAAAACTGCTATTCAAAATATTGCTGTACCTAGGGCCGGCGCGAGTAGGTGTCGTGAGTAGGTGTCGCGTGCCATTATCACTTTTGCCGACTTAAAAAAAATAAATAATAAAAGGCCCTCGTTTTCGAAAATTTGCCGACTGCCATAACGACATTTGCCGACTAACAGTCGAAAAAGGTCAAATTTGCCGATTAAGGGTCGAATTTGCCGACTAAAAATCATTGATGGTGTGTGTGTGTGTGTGTATGTTACACACCCCCCACACCCCCTTCGCGCTTTTAAATTTAATGTATTCCTTCGTATACTTTTAAATCTCTGATCACTATTGCATTGAGTGAAATTTTTTCCAAGTTAAAAATAATCAAAGTCTATTTTAGAACGAATATGAAGCAAGAACGCCAAAACATTCTGACCATGATATCTATCAAATGAGATATCTTCCAGTCTCTGCATTATTCACAACTAGTTCAAAACTTTTTTTTATTTTATTTAGGTGTCCCAAAAAGTCCTAGTGGTCTTGTCACAGAGCACCGCGGAAGTGCATTTAACCAGGAAGTTCACTCCTCCTTCCTTACCGTGACGTAAAATATACCCAAAGCTAGTTTCGAACATGGATCTCTTGCTTATAAAGCAAGCGCTCTAACCACTGCGCCACGATTGCCATGAGAGCTCAAAAAATTGATTTTTGTTAAACTTTAAAGAAATCTGCGTGAATTTGAACTTTGCTGGTGTGAAAAATCTTATTTTTGCGAAATATTAGACAGATAATGTATTTGAGTTGTGTTAAGTATCACAATAAATTCATAATTTTTTAGTTCAATTTCTAAAACTTTTTGCCAATCTCAGTGTTTGTCTCTGGATCGGTTTTATTATGCTCGGCTATATATTATAAAGAATAACTTCATTCATAAAGCGTCATTTTTTTTAATGATCTTACTTTGTGTTCACACTATAATAATTGCGAAGGATAAACTATAGTGTTATAGGTTACAAGTTTTTTGTGTTTAATGCGATGGGATGTAAGTTTATATTGTTATCTGCAGATAACAATATAAACTTATTTTATAAGTTGCTGCAAGCATGATATTGCAGTGCTATAACAAAATAGTCCAAAGTTTTCTTGATTGGAACTATAAAGTTTTCTTTACTAAATCAGTAATAAAATCAAAAGGCTGTAGAAATAGTTCATGCGCAATTTAAAAATACTTAGTAAAAACCATAAAACTTAAGAATAATACTTTACTTAGTGATTTTTAATCATTAAATAAGAGAACGTCTCAACAGTTAAAGCTTTTATACAATTTTTTGTTTGTAGAATTTCAACTTGCCAGGGTAATATTAATCCTCTATAAGTTTTAAACGAACTGTTTAAACTTTTTCTGTAAAGATAAAAATCACTTTTAATCTATTTCAGTTGATTTTACTTTGTTTTTGATTTTACTTTGTTCTAATTAAGGGATCAAAGTGTTTCAATTTAGGGATCTTGCCTTTATTGGAACAAAATAGTATTTTTGCAAAAACTACCATTTTTGCAAAATTTATTTTTAAAACCACTCCAATTAATCAAGTCAAACTATTATTAAAAAAATTTAGTTGGGTTGTCTATTTTTTTACTCAAAATCATAAATGTTTTTATAGTTAAGCCATTTTTTGTTAATAAATATTTATTCCTTACGTGTTACAATTAAGGCAACTCTTCCCTACAGTATATATATTTATTTATATATATACATTGTTAATATATTTCGTTTTTCGGCGCATCAATGCCTAGCGCTATTTATTAACACCAAAACATTCGGAAAAAATGGCGGATTTTTTGTAGATTTTTCCACAAGAGTTTTATATATTTTTTAAATTAAAGTTTCAAATGTTTCATCAAATAGAAAAAGTTATTATAACAATTGCAATTTTCAAACTAAATTTTTTTAAGTTGCGGGGAGATAATGCTAAATGTACAGGAGTAAACAGTGTGTGGAACCCAGATAACTCAAGTTGTTTGTGTGGAAGAAAGATGTGGGGAATCAGGTGTCAATACGGCAGATTCAGGTTACTATTTGTTAATAATAACAATGAGGTTGTGTACACATCGACATAAGTTTCTGACATTATTAAAAAAAATTTTAAAGTTAACACAGTAATTAAATAGCAAATACAATTTAAAGTTATGAAGAACAAACCAACCAATATTAAACAAAACAAAACAAAAAAACAACAACATTAAAAGTTTATATAATGAATATAAAAAGTGTTGAAGTTGCTAATGTAGAAAAAAGGTCTTATGCTAACAAAATATCTTGTAGATAAGAGCCTATGCTAACAAAGTTCCAGAAACAAAAAAGCAGAAATAATAATTTTCATATTTGTTCATAAACACAATATGATAAATAAGTACAAATAAATAAACAAATAAAATGTGATAGGTAAAGTTTTACTTAAGTGACCTAAAATAATTATTTTTTTTCGCTTGTTGCGCTCTTGTCAATGACGACTTTTTAAACATGAGGAATATTTATTGACTTTAGTTCATACATCAACAATCGTATTGCCTGCTGCTACAAGGAAATGTGTTGTTACATTGACTGATGGTTTAACATAAGGAAGCAATCTTTTATTTTATTATCCCTTATGTTAAAAAAATCTCAACTGACAAGAGCACAACAACCAAAGAAATAAAAATATTTTAACCAGTTTAACTGTAGGATTACTGATGTGATAGACTCTATACACTCTATTAGTGTATAGAATCTAACAACAATAGATGTTAGACTTAATAACAGATTTTCACAGTTTTTTGTATATTTGTCATAGAGAATTTTAAATATGTTCAAGTTTTTCTCATTCAAAACTTTTTGTGGTAAATAGGTCTATTTACCATAAAATTGTCCATTATTTTTTAATGAAAAAATTACATTGACCTTTTTTTTTTGATTTGTTGTCTTCATATTATTTTATTGTAGTCTCTTGTAATAGAATTTTCTATGAATATTAGAGGATTGTTTAAAGTATTTATACCTAAGTTATTAATAAACATGTGTAATTACGTTATGCGACCTTCTATTTTATATACATTTTTATATTTTCATCTTATATTTAATATAATCTTCTACTCTTCAGTGTTAAGAGATTTATTTTATCTAACCTGTTTTCATATAATAAACCTTTAAAATTGTGGATATGAGTTGTTCTGTGTTGGATTTGTTCAATCAATAATGTTTTTATAAATTCAGATTCCATATTGGGTTCCATATTTATAAGGGGGTCTAAATAAAAATGTAAATCGTAATTTCATTTTTTTTTCATTATATGTTTAAAAGAGTGTTTGATTAGGCCTAGTTTTTGGTGTGCTTTATTAACTGTATAGTTAATGTGGTAACTCCAGTTTAGGTCATTTGATATATATATATATATATATATATATATATATATATATATATATATATATATATATATATATATATATATATATATATATATATATATATATAAAACATATAATTTTATGTTATATGTATCTCACTGTGCACCAGAGAGACCACCAGGTTTTTTGTCGTGGCACTTATATCAAATCCTTATTTTATGAAAGTATTATATATATTGTTTTAGAAAAAATATTTTTTGAAATTGAAACGCATTGCTATCATACCTTTTTTGATAAAAATATATTATAAAATGGTTATAAAATTTCTTAATTTTTTGCCGGATCTTGACTTAAAAAAATGTTAAAAAAAATTGTTTTTATCCTTGGAAACCACTGATAGATATTTTTTTAATGGAGGTAACAAAATTTATTTTGTAAAATATATTGTTCAATATAATAGTTTAAAAAAAAATTATAAATGTTAAAAAAATATTTTTAACAAATTTTTATATATATTTAACTAAGCATTAGCTATTAATTATATTAATTATACTGTAATCTCATATTAGGTGGACTTATAAATTTGATTTACCCCCTGTACTAACTAATCAAAAAAAATTCTGAGATTAAAAAGATGGTAGTATATAAATTTTCAAATTGCGGAAAGTTGTGCTATTTAGGAGTTGTATTTCTTTCATTTAAAAATGAATTCCTACTTGTTGCTGTTGCTGGGAAAAGTATGGTGAAAGATCAAAATCATTGAACAAAATGAATAAAAACTTAGAAGAACAAATTCAACTGTTTATCTTTTCTGGATATTCGATGAACAACAATTGCTATCCATCAGTTGTTTGTCCTGGTTGCCAAAGAAATCTTTACAGACTCAAAAAGGAAGACTTACCTCGTGGTGAATGGGGAGCTAAGGTTACCAAAGTAAATTTAATGATTTTTTAGTTCCATTTTTTTCTTTTTTTTCTTTTGTTTATTTATAAATGCATATTTATTTAGGTAGAGTGGAAAACTCTTTTGAGAAATAGCCCCAGTTTAACTTTTCCAGATGAGATGACTAGTTTACCGACAACTGAGTCAAGTATATGTTCTTTTTGCTATACATTACCTGCAATTGGTAGTTCTCATAACTGTACACCCACCAGTGCTGTGGCTAATATCATTACACTTTCATTTCTTCTAGGTTCTCTTCAAGCTGAACAGGTAAAAAAATTATATTTTGTTTATAAGTTTTTTATGCAAATTTCATTTTGTGAAAACTTTACGTAGGTTGCTTCTGGAATTATAAAAAGTAAAATGGCTACAGAAAGTTTGATTGACAGATCAACATTTTGTTTATCTACAAGAGGAAATCTGCTCAAAGTCACAGTTTGTACACCAGAAAACAAATCAAAAAGAACTTCTATTAAGCAGCTTTCCATCAAAATAATAAAGCAGTTACAAATTGTGTTAGAACTTTCAAATAGAAAAATAAAAGAGATGCTTTCTACTTAACGCAAAGGTTTAGGAAATAAGCTTACCATTGAGCCTAATATTTTTGGTCGTCTTTCTGAATTAGAAAAATATATTTCTAATTACTACAGTGTGCAGAAGTGCGTGTTTGTTGATAGTAAAGGCCATTTTATTTTACGAGATCTTGTATTAAGGAGGGAGGGTCCATAATCATCCTTTTTAAAATTTTTTTATAGTTTAACCAATTTTTTTTAACTAGTTTTTCATGCTGATTCTGAAAATCATAATCTTTTTTCATTTCAATTGTTTAGCCTTTTACTTCAATTTTAATAAAAATGAATATATTGACAAAAAAAGGCATTGTTAAAAATGAATGAAATTATTATTACCGTTAAATATAAGAAAAGTAAAAAAGTAGAAATCTTTTTCTGTTTAATTTATCAATAATATACCTTATGATTTATAAGTAACAAAAAAAATTGGGCATTATATATGAAAATAATTCATACAGTTTGTTATTTACTATTGAAAATGTAAAATAACTATAAAAGTCATCATATGTGATAAAGATTGCTGCGGGAACTTTTCCATGTAGAATAAAAAGGAACTAGGTTATGAGCGTGTTATTTGTTAGACATAAGATGGAGGTTTGCATTTTTATATCAACCATCATGTTTTTAAACAGAATAGACCTCCGCGTCAATGACCTACATTGTATCCCTAAAATAAAGAACTTCTTTTATCTAACTTTTTGTCATTTTAACATATCTTTATCTACTTCAATAATGTCTAGTTCACAGCTAAATGGGCTGCCTTGTAACTTTAATCAAATTGAAAAAGAATTCATCTTGCACACCTGATGTAAAGTTTGCTGCTCTTCCATTATTATCCTTTTTTTTTTGTAGCTGTTTCAACTATATTCCATAGTTTCAACTTTTTGGACAAGTAATTGGACAATAATTTTTCAAAATATTTTTAAATTATGCAAACCTTCATTTTTTATATGGTTTAAATAATTAAGTATACATCTACTGTTTAAACTAAATGGGTTTTTTCCAAAGCTTTCCAACTGCAACAACTTAATTAGAAAGTTAATACTAATCATGTTCCATTATCAACCAAACACATAGTACTTTTCTCTTTTTTGAAGTCCTGAGGCTTACTTTTGTTAAAATACTCTAGCAAGAATTTTACAATCATTCAACCTCTTGGAGGTATACTTATTAACTGCTTCTAGAATTTTTTTAAACTAACTATTTTCTGCGTTTTAGAGTAAAGCAGAAAATTTCAAAATTTGATCACCCAGTTTGTTTTTTATAAAGTGTTTTAGGTAGCGGTATTCCTTTAGCCTGTTTATCTTTAGAGTTGTTAAATCTTTAGAATTTAACTTAACTTCTACTGACTGGCAACTTTTAAAGAAGATTTATTCTTGACTTCATTAAAGAAAAGTGAAAAAAAAAAAAAAAATGAAATCTTGAATAGCCTTCTTGATAGCTTGAATAACGATTAAAAATAAATAAAAAAAAAGAAATAAGGATATTTTGAAGCAATCTGTCTTTTTGATTACTTAAAACATTTTGTTTAGAAAGAGACTTCAGATAAAACTTTTTTTTTCTAAAACTCAACAAATAAAAATCAAATTTATCCAATTAAAATTTGAATAGCATAAATTTGAAAGAAAAGTTGCGTAATTTTATATGCAAAGAAACTTTTGCAAAGATTTTTATTTTTTATATCTTTAAATTTTTAAAATAAAAGTAGAAGGTCAACCATAAAAAATTAGCAAAAACTGAATTGATTTTTGAACTTTTCTCAAAAAACTAATTAAGAATAACTGGTTAATCAAGAAATATAGATTTTGGACCCCCTCCTACTTGTATATGTTCAAAATACATCAGATTTTGTACTTGACTTGTTAAAATTGCGTGGTTTAGACCCTACTTCAGCCTTTATAAG